GGACTGGGAGAGGGTGGGGACTGGGGGAGGGCAGGGCGCCCACCGATCTTGTGGAAGAGCTCGGGCAGCTGCACCTCCACCTTCTCGCGCTGGAACATGTGGTACTCCGCCTGCTCGCAGATGGGCGGGATCAGGTTGAACTGCCGGGCCACCGAGTAGGCTTCCTGCGGGTGCAGAGGGCACGTTGGGCCCTGCCCGGTACCGGGGCCGCCCAGGCGGCAGGGAGGACACACGGGCCTCCCAGGGAGGACTGCCACCTGCCCCTCCCCCTCTCAGCGATCCTGGCACCTATCAGGTCCGGCCCTGCGGTGGGAAAGGGGTGGCTGAGGGACTGAGGGGCTTGGCTTCTGGCATTCCCGGCCAGGTGGCCTTGGGCGGGGCTCACCCCTGGGCCTCAGTTTCCCCATCTGTCATGAGGGTCCATGAGCAGCGGTGTTGGCAGCCCTCGGACAGCGCCTGGCCCAGGGCACATCAGGGCTGCCTGCCGTGGGGCCACTGCTTTGGCCATCACTCCAGGGCCCTGGCCCCGGGGGGATGGCACGGGCAGAAAATGCTTGGTCAGGAGGGAGAGTGGCCGCATCTGCCCATTCCTGGAACTTGGAGCTTAAGGCCTCAACCCCGCAGACCAGACTGGTGAGCCAGGGCTGATGTCCGCAGACAGACCCCGGGGAAGCCCTGCGTGCCAGCCTGGGAGACTCAGTTCTCCTGTCTGTGAAATGGGGAGAAGGCGCTGGTGGTGCCAGAGGATGCTGGTTGCTGCTTAGTGCCGAGAGCTCGGTGCCTGGGCCCGGGGCGGCTGTCCGCGGGGCTGCAGGCCTTTGCCAAGAGCTTCGCACCTGCTCTCAGGTCACCCCCAGAACAGCCTCCCGGAGGCCCTCCTCGCAGTCCTGCGCCACAGGGGAGTGAGCCCATCTTAACCCAGGTCAGCCCCACCCCCACCCCGAGCTGAGGCCAAGACCCCCTGCAAGGCCGGCAGCCATGGCCGCCGCACGTCACAGCACCTGTGCCATGGGGACCCACAGCCCGGAACCTGCCGGAGCCCAGGACCGGGACCTCCCTCCGCAGAGCGGGCAGGAGCCCACGCGTGCACGCACCCCGGAGGCCCCCTACCATGATCTCCATGGAGCTCCAGCGCGATGTGCCCCAGTACATGGCCATCCCCTGGTTGATGACGTGGGTCATGGCGCGTACGGTCTCTGTCGGGAGAGAAGGGGAAGCTGCAGGTTGGGGGGTGGCGGGGGCCCGGGGCCCAGCGGGGGACATTCTGCAAACACAGGCGCGCTGGGAGCAGGGCAGGGTGCTGCAAAGACGTCTTGCAAGCTCTGTACTTCCTGGCTCCCAGGTCGGGGTGCGGGGACCCGGGGCGACAGAAAAAAAGTGGACCTGCTCCAAGCAATTGGTCTTTTTTTTTTAAATCCTCACCCGAGGATATTTTTCCATTGATTTTTAGAGAGAGTGGAAGAGAGAGGGAAAGACAGAGAGAAACATCGATGCGAGAGAAACACATCGATTGGTTGCCTCCTGCACGCGCCCTGACCAGTGCCCGGGCCGGGGAGGAGCCTGCCACCGAGGTACGTGCCCTTGACCGGAATCCAACCCGGGACCCTTCTGTCCGTAGGTGGACGCTCTATCCACTGAGCCATACCGGCCAGGGCCAAGCAATTGGTCTTGAAAGTGACTTCCCCCGGTAGGTACAGGCCTTATGGGGTCTTTGAGAGATGGGTGGTGGGTGGCCTGGGTGCTTCTGTGTCAGGTTAGAAGGGTTGTGGGGGGAGATCGGAGGATGTGCTGCCAGTCTCGAGAGGCCCTCTAGTCCCAGGAGGGACCAGGGACCGACCCCAGGCAGAGCCAGGTAGGGATGAAGGTCACAGCCAGCCTGGCAGGAGGCAGCAGAGGGAAAGGCAGTGTTGGCCTGTTTCTGGGCGGCTGCTCCGGGCTCCTCCCACTCCCCGAGAGCTGCAGAACTGGAGGGCGCAGTGACCGTGGCATCTGCAGGGACAGAGGGCACAGGGCCCTGGGGGGCCCAGAATTGCTAGAGGAGACAGGGGCAGCCCGTCTGGGCCAGGCCCCCGCTTCGCACGCCAGCCCCGTCCCAGGCTGGGGCGTGTCCCCGGCACAGGGTGGCTTCTGCTCCCAGCACCATGGGGGCCTGGGGGGACCCTCCTGGGGAGGCCCAAGGCTGCAGCGGGACATCAAGGTCTCCACCGAAGACCCGGCAGCGAGAATCCCGTGTCCTCGGACCTCAGCCGCGGAGACCGGCCTTGCTTTTAAACCCCCCCCCCCTGCCCCGGCTCCTCAGGAGAGGCTCTGGGAGGCGAAACCTGCCGACTTCCCTTCCTGGGCTGCCTCAGCTCGTGGGGATGCTGTCGTTTTTGAAACAGAACCTGGCCTCACATTTCTCAGTTCTAACGTCTCAGCGTCGTGGGGGGAGGCCGCTCCCCCAGATGCCTCCCGGGCCCCATACAGTGCTTGCAAGTCCGGGCAGCATGGGAAGTGGAGCCGACAAACAGTGTTTCTAAAACCGAGCGAGACGCGGGCCCCTGGCCGAGGGCCCCTTTCAGGAGAAGGCGGCGGTGGCTGGGCTTCTGGGGTGGCCGTCTCCGTGGGTGCGGAGACCCTCTCAAAACTCACACCTGGGCATCCACACCTGCAGGCCGAGCCCCGTCCTCCCTCCCGTCCCAGGGAGGGGAGCTGGCTGGCGGGGAGCCCGGACCCCCTAGGCCCCCCGGGGCCGCCCTTTTGCTGACACCGGTCGACGTGG